CTTTATATAAATCTTAATGACCCCAAAGTTTTGAACAGTAGTGCATTAATGACGTATAATATAAATAAAGTATAATGCAAGAATTAAGACAGTATACAAATAGTACAATTGTTGTTGAACATAATTACGTTTTTTTTTTCCATTTTCTAATTGAATACAAGGTAAAAATATGTATTTAATCGTTTCCATTTTTAGGCACCAATATAATAATGGACAGTAATAAACAGAAATATTTATCTACTTATATTTTTTACTATCTTTTTACTTTAATGCCTTTTTTTGCTTCTGAACTTGCTATTAATACAACGGAACCAACAGATGCAGACGTACTGCAGGTTAAATAGCCAAGGCTATTCTTAAATGTCAAGTAATGTTCATTTTTTTAATCTTTTATGTATTTCAAATTTATTAAAGTGTCAGTTCACCCAAAAATGAAAATTAGCCCATAAATTTACTAAATAAGTAAAATAAAAAGCGCCCATCCATAAAAAAAGTGTCTCACACGGCTCCAGAGGGTGAACAAAGGCCTCCTGTAGCGAATCGATGCGTTTTTGTAAGAAAAATATCCATATTCATAACGTAATAATCACTTTAGTGTAGCTTAAAAGATTAACTTCTTTTGGACTGAAGCAATGCAACACCCGCTGAGTGTCATTAAACGGCTTGAAAGATCAAAGACAATTTTTTATATATCTCCAACTGGATTCGTTTGAAAGAAGAAAGTCATATACACCTAGGATGCATTGAGGGTGAGTAATTTATGGGCAAATTTTCATTTTTGGGTGAACTAACCCTTTAAGTCGCTTCTGTCTGTGATAATAACACACATAATGGCCACACACACAGTAGGCCTCCAAAACTTCCTTGCTGATATCCACTTTTAGATTTATTTTAATACAGATGCGGTTTGGATTGCGGTCTTTGTGTTTTTAAAGGAGTTGGCTACAGAATTAAATTAAAGAGATGGATTACAGGTGATGTAGTAAATAATGTTAATCTTCTTGCACAGACTGATCATTTCGCTTCATAATATCTCAATATATCACCAGGAGCAACGGGTTTTTTGTATTGTCTGATATGCTTTTTTGACTCTCATAATGACGGTAGCCATTGACTTGCATTTTATGAATCACCAAGGAGCACAGTTTCAGATAAAAGTCACCTACATCTTGGATGGACTAAGGGTGAGTAAATTATCAGAAATTTTTATATTGGGGTGAATCCTTTAATATTGCTGTGGATTAACAGGTCAGGTGTTCTGGTAGATACCGTGGTTTAGGGTTTACCAAACAGGACCTGTGTCTAATATGCTCAATTGGTCAATTAATTGTGGATTAAAAGATCTGCTGCTGCTGAGTGAACTGTTCTTCTCAGGCAGGGTGCCCAGGGTTGACATGGACTGGGACACATTCCTTTGGAGGTTTGTCTTTGGTCCAAACAAGGATTTGAGTTTTGATTTCTTCTTAGGATTGTCCGAACTTCCTTCTCCTTCCCCTTCACTGTCTGTTCCCACTGAAGAGGGCACGATCGCAGAGGCAGAATCCGACAGGCCGTCTTTCTTCTTACCACGAATTTTATCCTTGAGCTTACCGATGCCGGAGCGAGGCTTGTCTGTCATGGAGAGGTCAAACATGCTGGCTGTCAAGTTATTCCGCATGAACTGAATGTCCAAAAGAACTTCCCCTCGGTCCTTCTCCTGTTTCCCATTCTTATCCACCAGTTTGTACCAGCTGCAAAGAGAATCAAACAAGGTCTTCATTAGATTGATGACATTAGATGACAGTTGTGCACGGTTTTTGTTAAGGATTGTCATTTATTTTAGGATTATCATTTCATTTAAGCTTAATTAATTATTTTTAGCTTATTCAAAGAAGCCTTACTTTCAAACCACTTGAAAATTACTTTAATATTAATTAATACTAAAAAAAAATTTTTTTTAATTGAAATAAAGCTGAACATTTTCAAATATAAACATTAGACAATTTATTTAAAATCTTATATTTAAAAAAAGTAAAAAATTTAAATAAAACAAATTAAAATAATTAAATGCTTTGGCAACTAACTGAAATAAAGTACTACAATTACTAAAACTTAAATAAATTAAAGCTAAATAGAAATATACAAATTAATAGAAAGAATAAAGTACATAACAATTACTAAAAGTTACACTAAAATGAAAATAAATACATTAAATAAAAAGTTATATATTTTAAATATATAACAAAATATTCATAAATAAAGTATTAAAATATTAATAAAATAACAAATAAATAATGCTGATAATAATAATAATATTGAAAATAAACTGCATGAAAGTCACAAATGTAATTTGTGATTTAAGTGTCTTTTTGGGAACATTTCACATTTTTAAAAAGACAACATTTATTTTTGTGGCGAAGAAAAAAAACCTTGTAATCTCTGGCTGGTTGTAGATTATTGCATGGCTACTTACCTAAGTAAATAAACAGATGTGAAATACTGAGTTTTATTAGGCTATATTTTTTTTATCATTTTATTATGTGAGAAGAACGTAACAAAAAAACAAAGAAAACTGAAAAAAAAACAATACTGCAATTGACCGCTTAGAACTCAAATAGAAACATAACATTTAAAACATAAATTTAACATTCTCCCAAATTCGAACACATCTGACTAAAGGGGTAAAGGGTATGATCCCTTTTGTAATTTCAAAATGGTTTGCTATTTCAAAAAGCTACATTCTATGTTTCAAATGGTATATAGCGGATTCAAAACTAAATTACTGTATGAATAGAAAGGCTGGAATTTCACTTGGGAATTGAACCCTGTACCAGTAAATGATACAAAACACAGAAGCCTGTCTACTGATGAAATAAAAGAAAAACATCTTTGTTTAGCCTGCGCTTGTCCTCTCTTTTTCAGCAGAGGGGCAGGTGGGAGAGTTCTGGAGTTCAGTGTGTAATCATGAACATGCCATTATCCGCCCACGCTGTTGTCATAATAGACTCCTGAGCGCAGGGACCACGGGTAGCCTACAGTCACACTGACACCAAACAGCGGCTCCCACAGACCAATCTGATTAAACGTGGCATGTGATCAGAGCAAGCGGCTGCAGCTGAATTCCAAGCATTTCTGTTTGGACCCCGACAGGATGAAAGTTTTGAACAGACTGCTACTACAATTTTAATGAAAAACTCATGAAAGCATTTTTAGCATCTTTAGAATATGGTTGCGCATCATATGCAATCATTTTCCAGCAAAACTGTGTTTATAAATTTATGGACTTATATTATAGCCGCATAATTTCCAGCCAGTTGCGATTTTTTCTTTTTGTAAAGAATTTATTTTGTCAATTGTATATTTGTAAAGAGAAAGAAATGTTAAGTCAAAAAAATTTAATTTACTGAGGAGTTCAGTGTGTAATCATGAACATGCCATTATCCGCCCACGCTGTTGTCATAATAGACTCCTGAGCGCAGGGACCACGGGTAGCCTACAGTCACACTGACACCAAACAGCGGCTCCCACAGACCAATCTGATTAAACGTGGCATGTGATCAGAGCAAGCGGCTGCAGCTGAATTCCAAGCATTTCTGTTTGGACCCCGACAGGATGAAAGTTTTGAACAGACTGCTACTACAATTTTAATGAAAAACTCATGAAAGCATTTTTAGCATCTTTAGAATATGGTTGCGCATCATATGCAATCATTTTCCAGCAAAACTGTGTTTATAAATTTATGGACTTATACTATAGCCGCATAATTTCCAGCCAGTTGCGATTTTTTTTTTTTTTAAAGAATTTGTTTTGTCAATTGTATATTTGTAAAGAGAAAGAAATGTTAAGTCAAGAAATTTAATTTACTGATATATATATAATGTAATATAATAATGTAATAATGTAATATAATAATACAATACAATATACATACAGTGGGCATACAAAAAAAGAATCACCCCCCTTCAAATTTATTTTAAAGGGTGGTGATTCTTTTTGGCACACACACATGCACATATATATATACATATACATATACATATACATACATATATATATATATATATATATAATATTATTCTTTTTTTTATCAGTGCACCAGCTAATTAGGCCAGCTAATTTAGCTAAACTAAATCCATTAATTTACTGGCCATTCAGAACTTGCAAAATAAACAAATATGTCAATAAACCACAGCTTAGATTTAAATATATTATTTATGATTTAACCCACACACACAAATATATATATATATATATATAATATTATTCTTTTTTTTATCAGTGCACCAGCTAATTAGGCCAGCTAATTTAGCTAATTTAGCTAAACTAAATCCATTAATTTACTGGCCATTCAGAACTTGCAAAATAAACAAATATGTCAATAAACCACAGCTTAGATTTAAATCTATTATTTATGATTTAACCTAATGAATCATTGAATGGCTTTTATGACAGTCAGTCGTGGTTTGCAGATACTATGAAAATAAAATAAAATTCTGTGTGACTTCTCTTATAGATCAGCATTTATTTTGTTGTATTTCCAAATAAAGTTCACTCAAAAATGAACGTTTAATGGTAAATGCATTGAAGATTAGCGGACACATTGTTAATTCATAAAGTGACCAGTTAATTCATAAAGTTTTTATGTTATTTTATTATTGTGGAGCCCTGAATGTGGGTACAATTTTCAATCTTAAAAGTGTAGAAAGACTTCATGGTTATGGCTTATGGTAGAATAGCACTGACTGTAGTTCAAAAAAACTGTAATTTAATCGGATGCGTGGAATCACATCAAAATTAGAAAGACTAGAGAAGCCCAAGGCCAGGAAACACAGACTATCAGTCCGTTAGTGGACCTTACACTCAAAACCACAGCAGGAAACTCAAATCTGTACTTTCAGGGTGGAGAAAGACTTAAGGGAAATGGTGCCTATCAGCAATCGAAGCTCAAGGGATTAGATAAGGAAAGTTCTTTCAAGATAAAAAAAAAGTGAACAACAGAGGCCTGACAAACTCAGTACAGAACATCTCATCTAAAATAGGGCTCTTTTAATAGGTCACCTTGCAGTAAAAGCCATTTTATAGTCACTTTCACATGCATTGATATCTTAAATACATCATTCTCTCACAGCTCTCAGGAATTGATCCAAACGGTCATGTCTGAAAGTTCTCTGTTATTAGAGACAACATTCAGAAAACTTCATCCGACGCATTCCTGTGAGCTAAGCTAACACCCCCCAAACACGGCAAAGCTTGAGGCTTTATCTCTTCACACAGCGAAAAACAAACAAGTGCTGCTCTTAATCTATTTTCAGCTGCAATCATTAACTCTGTCTGAGAAGGGAACCATCAGGAACAGCCGGCTATCATTTTCAGAGATAAACACTGGTCACATTTACACAAAAATCTACCACATAATTTCATCTAGGTTCACATGAAGGCTAGATGAATCACTTAAACCAAACAAACATTTAATCTTCATAATGATTATGAAGATGAAATGTTTGTTTGGTTTAAGTGATTCATCTAACCTTCATCTACTTTTATACACATTTTATACTTTTTCTGAGGGACTAAAACACGACTATCAGCAAGCTTACTAGGGGTCAGCATTCAGTTCTGGCATTTGTGTTTCAATACAAATGTATACATTCACTAGTGTATTGACAGATTTAACCATTCAGTTTGATTGATTCATAAGCTCTTGATTCAATTCGATTCCAATATTGATTCAATAATATCGATACGCTGTAAAAAAAAAAAACTGTAAAATTTACGGTAAAAAAACAGCAGCTGTGGTTGCCAGAATTTTACCGTAAAAAATACGGTAGCAACGTTTTAGGTTTTAACTTAAATTTACAGTTAAATACCATAATTGTATTAACTGATATAATGTTAATATACCAACCTATTGAAGTACTCAAATCTGTTTTGTACCTTTGTAATACACTGATAACCACCAAATGCAGGTGGTGATGAAAAAGTCACATGATGAACCAAAGCCCATCACAAGCAGCTTTTAGATAATAACATATATAGAAGGTGCACAGTGTCATTCACACAAATTCCAAACACCATCATGGTAACACACATGAAACTGAAATAATGCAATAAACATTCACTTAACAACATTAGGTGTAACACACAACCCTAATATACAAAACTGATAAGAAAAAACTAAGAAGAAACAGTTATTTCAACAAAAAAACATCAAATTTGAAATGTAACACAGGGAATTCTGTGAATGTCAATTTACATTTATTCACTGTAAATTATAAAAAAAAAATTTCACTTCCAAAAACGGTATACTACCGTAAAATTAATGTCCAATACAGTTTTTCACCGTATATAGTAGGGGAATTTACCGTTAACTATTTAACAGGTTTTTACTGTAGCATTTTTACAGTCTTTTACCGTTAAATTCACAGTCATTTTTTACAGTGTATAACAGGTACAGTACATGTCCATTTATTTAAGGAAAGAAAATCTTTCAACTAAAGCTGTAAGCTACAGGAAACCATACATTACTATAATATAAAAAATTAAAATTAACAACAGAGTCCAAATTAAACTGCTATTTATTTTTAGATATAACAATCAACATAACAATCAAACTGAGTTGTATACAAACATTTAAATTGTACATAACACAGTTTTTTATATTTAATGACTATGATCATTATGTTTCCAATTTGTTGTTGAAATATAAAAATGTAAATAATGGTTGTCAGAAAAACTTCAAAAAGATTTGTTC